TTATATTGCCATCAACAGTGCTCAAGAGTTGCCTTTTCTCCACACCCTTGCTAACACTTACTATCTCTTGTCTTGTTGATAATTGCCATTCTAACTGGTGATAGGTAATATCTCATTGTGTTTTTAATTTTTATTTCCCTGATGAATAATGATGTGGATCATTAAAAAAATATGTTGACCATTTGTATGTCTTCTTTTGAGAAATGTATTTTCATTTTATTTTCCATTTTTATTTACTTATTTATTTATTTATTTTGAGACAGGTTCTTGTTCTGTTACCCAGGCTGGAGTGCAGTAATGTGATCATAGCTCACTGCAGCCTCTACCGCCCAGGCTCAAGTGATCCTCCTGCCTCAACCTCCCAACTAATTGGAACTATAGGCAGGTGCCACCATGCCCGGCTTATTTTTATTTTTTATTTTTGTAGAGACAGGGTCCCACTGCATTGCCCAGGTTGGTCTTGAATTCCTGGCCCCAAGCAATCCTCCTGCCTCAGCCTCCCAAAGCTCTGGGATTACAGGCATGAACCACTGTGCCCGACCTCCTTTCCCCATTTTTTAACCAGGTTATTTGCTTTATTGATATTGAGTTGAGTTTTAAATATATTTTGGATATTAACCCTTTATCAGATGTATGGTTTGTACATATTTTTGCCTCCATCTTTGCCCCTGTTTCTTCTCCTGGAATGTTCTTCTAGCTCTACATTTTGAAATCCTAACCATTCTCTAAGACTCGATTCAGTCACCTTCTCCATTAAGCATTTTCTCCATGCAGAAACAGTCTCTGCTCTGGACTTTGATAACAATATTGTCTATTTCTATGAAAATTTTTATTTTGTTTACATTGTACTGGACAGTTATTTGCTACATTCACTACATTTTTAGTATACCGAGGTCTTTCAGTATATATCTATCTACTTTTGCCCTTCACAGTGGCTTGCATATAGTAGATATTCAGTAAATGGAGTTTTCAGATGAAGGGCACATTTCTACATCTTGTGATTATTAATGATTTAAGTGCTGAAACTCTGACATTATTTTTCTTTTTCCTTTTTATAGGCGAGAGCTGTTTTGGCAAAAGTTGGCTATCCAGACTTTATAATGAATGATACTCATGTTAATGAAGACCTCAAAGCAGTAAGTGCTATATTTATTGTACTTTTTTTTTTTTTTTTCCCCTGGCAAGTTTTACTGGCCTTGTGCCTTTCAACTAACCCAAGTCCAAGCAATTAAAACTGGTGATGCCAGAAAACACCAACTTTTGATTAATTCCTTGGCTAGATATGAGCCTGAATATGCCAGGCAGATCACAAGATTTAGGGCAGATTCAAAATAAAGGAAGTGTCAGAAACGATGCATAGCTGAGTGGGTACCATAAAACAAATGGACTTGGGTTTGGCCTAATTTGATCATAAAAGAAAGAATTAAGCAAATTGAGTATTTTACAATTAGTGAGCATGTTCTAATGGCAAATGCATCATGTTTGTTGTTAAACACTTTTTATTTGCTTCATTCATATTAAATGAATAGTAATAAATCTGCCTACTGGGACTTAACTTCATTAAACTTTATGAGTGTTTTGGCAAATTAAGTGCATATACATATGACTCTGTAATTTATTGTGAATTGGATTGTGTATTTGCAGTAAGTTACTGATGAAAAATAGTCATAATTCTTTTTTATTCCAATATTTTTGGACATGTATTTTCCGGTAGGTATATTAATTATAGGCCTTTCTAATCACAACGACTGTTATTTCCTCTCCTACAAATAGTTCTGATAAACGATTTTTCTTCCTCATTTAAAAAACCTGTTTTTACCATTCACTAGATTGTCTTGAAAACGTAGTCTTTTGAAATTCTTTAAGTAACTATGCTTCTGAGGTATAGCTCTTTCCTGAAATTGTGGCTCAACAAGTGGCATATCTGAAAGCAATCCCAGCTTTGGAGACGAGCATCAAAATTTTACAAGACTATTCAAAAGTGAGAGAAAGCATTAATTAGATTCTTCCTCCATTGGGCTCTAAGATATAGCCTCCCAAAATATTGATACAGTTGCTCTGGAAGAAAATAATTATGCCTCATAGCATCCTAAAACTCAGACAGTCTATCTTATTTTGTTTTGATGATGCTGAAAATTCCATTATTATTATCATAACTAAAAATGTTGAAGCACTTGACATATTCATGTACATTAACTTTTAATTCCTTCAGTGATTCTGTGAAATAGATGATGTTCATTCCCATTTTGCAGAAAAGGACATAGAGACTCAATAATTTAAGTGAGCTCCTCAGTTGCACACAGAGTTTCAGAGCCAGGACTGAAATCTGGGCTCAGGAAGCTCTGCCTGTAATCAGAGAAGGGGTTCTTGAGGGTCCTTTTTAGGCAGCTGTGCTGGAGGAACAGAAGCGTCAGGGTGGAGACTTGGTGGGGGCAGTGTGACCAGAGCTGTTGGAAGAAGAGCAGAGGGAAGGCCATATTATCAAACAGTTAAGAGCACAGGCTCCAGTATCATGGGCCTGGGTTTGAATTCTGCTTCTTCCACTGACTAGCTGTTTCATCCTGTGTAGGTTACTTAACTTCAGTTAGCGTCCCTTTGGTTATCTGGCTACTGGAAATATCATAATCAAGTCTTAGTATTGTTGGGAAGATTAGATGAGATTATATAAACGTAAAAACACCTGGCATAATACTCTGACACAGAGTATAGCCTACTCCCTATAAAGGGGAGCTTTAATATGGACCATCTGTGGTCCATTTTCAAATCAGCCTTATAAAATATTCCATTTCATTGATCCTTAATAGAAATAGACTGCAGCGTGAATTTACAGGAAAGCAAAAAGCACACTGGGTATTTTAAACAGGGAATTTAATACGGGAAATAGGTTGGAAGGCAAGAAAAGGGAAAATAGATAAACCACAGGTTAACCTGCTGTTGCTGTAAGAAGAATATCACCAGGGCACAAAGTACCTTAGCAGGAGAACCTGGGTAACTCCATACAATTGGTACATATTCTGAGTCAGGATGTGGATGAGAAGGTTTGAGAGACAGTTTGGTGTAGAGGTTATAAATAGGGACCCTGGAGTCAAAGTGCCTGGAGTAAAACCCCCAGTCTACCATGTACTACCGTGTTACCTAGGGTAGGTTATGTATCCTCTCTGTGCCTTTCTTCATCTGAAGAATGAAGGTGATATCCCTCCCATATAGCATTTCTGGGAGGATCAAATAAGTTAACATATTTAAAGTGTTTAGAATGAACCCGAGCATACAATCAGCACAATGTAAGTGTTAGCTATGACATCCTCAATTCACACTTGTGGTAGTGGACATTTTGGTTTGAAAAAGTCCTCATGAATTAACTCATACACTGTCCAGGTCCCTCAAATTGATTTAAAAGGGTATACAGATGGAGCAGTCTCAAGCTTTAATCGAATAAGGTAGTACTTAAGGCTTACTCACAATATTTAGTTGATCAAGTTTTGTTGGCATTCTGTTGCTAAGTTGAGAGCCCCAAATTTAAGGACCCATTGAATGCAATATCTTTTGTGAAAAGAAACCAGATGCCAAACAGGATGCCATGTTGGCTATGCTTCTTTGTTTCTCTGGGGCCTGAACTGAAGCGGTTACACACCAAGATTTTTAATCACTTCTTTGAAGAAATGGCTTTCATCTGACTCATTGCCAAAACAGACACAATTACACCCAAGAGTTTTAACAGTTTAAAAACCTGACAGTGAAAAAAATTCCAGGTACACGAAGTAAAAAGACATTTGTATTCAGAAACCGATGGTTTTAGTCCATTTTCACATTGCTATAAAGAAATACCTGAGACTGGATAATTTACAGAGGAAAGAGGTTTAATTGACTCACAGTTCCACATGGCTGGGGAGGCCTCAGGAAACCTACAATCATGGCAGAAAGTGAAGGGGAAACAGGCACCTTCTTCACAAGGCGGCAGGAGGGAAGAATGAGAGTTCAGGAAAAAACTGCCACTTTAAAAACCGTCAGAACTTGTGAGAACTCGCTATCATGAGAACAGCATGGGGGAAACTGCCCCCATGATTCATTCATCTCCCTTCCTTGACATATGGGGATTACAGAGATTTGGGCTCTCTCACTTTCTCTCCCCCTCAATCCCTGCCCTTTTCTTTTTCTGACAATGGCTTCAGTCCCTCCTCCAAAGCTCAGCTCTGGAGTGGCAGTTCTCCTCTACTCTTCTAAGTGACGGTACCATCACCTCCTCCGTTTTGTGACACTAGACACAGGAGTAGCAGCTGTGCTACTCCCGTGACTCTCACAGAGCCAGATCATATCACTGATAGATGAAATGAATAAAACCCACCCTAAAAGGTAAAGGATGACATTGCAGTATTGTCACTGAGGGCAATAGCAAATAGACTGAAGTATTCCTGGTACACAATGAGACTGTTTTCAGTTTTAAGAAACATGTGGATAAGGACTCCTGTGAGAAATTTCTGGTAATACGAGCTCTGAGCATAGAGGCTGTTACAAATGAAAAACAGCATGCTGCATTGGAGACAGGTGGAGATATGATTCATCAGGCACAAATGCAAAAGGAAAGAGGAGCGAAATTACCTGATGGATCAGATGAAGGTCAAGGAAAAATGCTGAAAATGGAAGTTGGGCTCATGTGGAAATAAAAGCAAATGAGATAGAATTAAGAGGTAAATATGCAAAAGAATCAAATTTTTTTCTTTAAGGATGACAAGGTAAACTGAGGTACTCAGCAAAGCATTTCTGAATAACAATCCTGCAGTTTTGGAAAAGAACAAGAAGAAATAAAATGCCCTTTATTTGAATCCCCATCAACATGCAGGAAAGCCTATTAGCCTAAATAGGTAGGCATCGGCCCGTTTTCAAATCAGCCTAATAAAGTATTCCATTTCGTTGATTCTTAATAGAAATAGATTCAAGCAGTGAGTTTCTACCAATTTTGGAAATATTTCAATATTAGCGAGGAAAGCAAAAAGCACACTAGGTATTTTAAACAGTGAGTTTAATACATGAAATATGTTGGAAGGCAAGAAGAGGGAAAAATGAGATAAACCACAGATTAGTAACTTTAGAAAGCAGCTGCTACTCCTGTGTCTAGGGTCACAGAAGGGAGGAGGTGATGGTCCCGTCACTTAGCAGAGTAGAGGAGAACTGCCACTCCAGAGCTGAGCTTTGCAGGAGGAACTGAAGATTCTTCCAGAGTCACTGTCAGAAAAAGAAAAGGGAGGGAGTAGATGGGGAGAGAGAGTGAGAGGCGGCAACACAGCACCCTTTTCTCTCCTGCAACCCACTGATTTCCTCTAGCGCCTCCTATTTGCAGGAAGGTAATTGGCAAAGGAGCTTGGGAAACAGTTTTCAGATTTCCAGTCCCCAGCATTACGGAACAGAGTGAAAGGGTAGGCAGCACGTAGCTGAAAAACTGTAGGTAAATAACCAGCACAATTAAGGACATTACTCATTCTTGTGAAAGCCAATGGAGAATTGCAGTAAGGACTAAAGTCAGAATCATGGCTGGCCTCCATTTACTTAGGAGAATTGGAAATGAGAAATGTTTCAGAGGCCAAAGTTTCTGGTGAGTGATACACACATATATACATATAATGTGCATATAGGGATATGCAGATATGTGAACCTATGTAAGATTCTCTGGGGTGGGTCTGGTCTGCTTTGGCCAGTGAAAAGCTAGTGTGTATGTGCGTGTGTGTGTGTGTGTACATGACAGACAGTGCTACTATGCAAGAGTGAGGTGATATTCAGATGGAATGCTGCAGAAAAAGAGGTTGTTAAAATATTAAAATAATTATTTACTATTTGTTAACAAAAAACATTGCACTCAGCTCTTTCAAGGGACCCCTGGCCGTCATGGCACTGGAGAGCTAAGGGTGGGCATTGGAGGTGGGGCACCCTGGTGCCCCTCAGCCTTCCAGCCAGACCTCTGTAACTCTCTCACATTGGCCTTTATCCAGACTGTTCCACTCATCAGAGCAGACCAAGACCAGCCCCAGTGTGGAGGTGGGATATCTGGTTCCAGTGCTAGTGTGCTGGCTGGAACTCCCTCAGACCCACCTTCACATAGCTGTTTGTGGGAATTGCATCCTCCATGGTACACTGTATATGTGGATTATTAAACATTTTGAACATCATCCCAGTATATATTAGGTTGGTGCAAAAGTAATTGTGGTTTTTGTCATTATTTTTAATGCCAAAAACTGCACTTACTTTTGCACCAACATAATAAGTATGTCTACATGTACAGACACACATTACTTTTGGGCAAAGCCATCTAAACACACCCATCTTGCATATTGATTTGTTGTTTGAATAAGGGAACATGTAGATATGAAATACAAATTCCATTAAGTATTCAGAAAATTCTTTGGTTGCCTAACACAAAATCTTTCTAATAGATATTTGGATATATCTCTGAGTATCTTTAAATGGATTTAAATTAAATGAAAGGTGTCCTAGAATTTACACATCCTACTGGCACAGTAAGGAAAGTACCACAATTAGTGCTTCAGTATGTTTCATCTGCCTGTTCTTACATGTAGGCCGAGGGCTATACTACAGATCATTTGCATTCCTATGTACTGTCTTATAAACATGTACTTATCCTACAGAGAAGCTGAACATGTTTCCTTGTTATGCGCTTACAGGTTCCCCATCTTTGGGGTGGTGGTGGTGGTAATAACTTTATTCTTCCATTTAGTCTGTGGATCTGGGATAGGATATTCAAGAAGAGAAATGTAGGCTCTGCTGAATTTTATGATCAGGACAGCTATTCCTAGGAAATGACACAAGAGTCCCAATTAATTCCCCAAAGGTCACGCAATCGAAAAGTCAAGAGATGGAATTGATTGAAAGTGATCAACTTGACCTAGACTTTTTCCAGTAACTGAAAGGACAAGAGGCTTTTGAGCCAAGTATTGTCTCTTGCCGAATTTAAGTTTTTCATTTTGGAGATTACAAGCGGCTTTAAAATATTCATGTGAATTCATTCTTGTTTCTACTTCTACAACAAACAGAACTTTCCTAATAGTTGCTGGGCTTCAATTCTTTTTCTCATCCAAGGGCCTTTTGAAATATTTAAAATTATCAAAATATTATTGCAATTAGCAAGTCTTCTAAAAGTAAAAACTGATCCCACTGATAATATTTTTTAAAAGTTAATATTTTTGAAGGAAATTCCTCTGAGAAAATTTCCCAGAAAGTATTCTGAGCCCAATAACATATCTGAATTTTCTATCAGTTACAATCACATTCTGAAGGTTTTGGCAGAAAATTTGGGAAATAGAGAAAACACACTCATAATATTGCTACATAATATATATACATATACACCATGGAATACTATGCAGCCATAAAAAAGGATGAGTTTGTGTCCTTTGTAGGGACATGGATGCAGCTGGAAACCATCATTCTTAGCAAACTATCACAAGAACCGAAAACCAAACACCGCATGTTCTCACTCATAGGTGGGAACTGAACAATGAGATCACTTGGACTCAGGAAGGGGAACATCACACACCGGGGCCTATCATGGGGAGGGGGGAAGGGGGAGGGATTGCACTGGGAGTTATACCTGATGTAAATGACGAGTTGATGGGTGCTGACGAGTTGATGGGTGCAGCACACCAACATGGCACAAATATACATATGTAACAAACCTGCACGTTGTGCACGTGTACCCTAGAACTTAAAGTATAATAATATATATATATATATACTTCTGTTACAGTTTATTAATTTGTTTTTCTCTATTTCTGTACAGCTGTAATTGATGTTTATATATAATTTGGTATACAAGCCTTTACAGTTAACATATTGTTTTGTTACTGTCTTTATAGCCTTTGTTACCATTATTTTAACAGTTGTATAGCATTTCAAGTAAGTTGTGTCATGATTTATTTAATCACTGCTTCTACTCCCATCCTCAATCTTAGTTTGTCCTTGAATCATTGGTTTACTTATTAAGACCAATGAAAATAACATTGGAGTCAGAGCCAAATGACTTGGACAGTGTAGCTTTGCCAAATTCCATAATATCCTTAGCCCTGTTTCCCATCTATCATATTTGAATAACAGTGACTGGCCCCTGCCTACCCCCAAACACTTAACCTGTCTCAAGGAAAAGAAGTAAGACCTGTCCTCTATTACTTGTGATTTCCATTAAATAAATGGAATAGATAATTAAACCAGGCTAATACTCTCAACTTAATAATGAAAACAATTTTTAAATTATCTTTCTAAACATAGATAAGCTATGGCAAATTGTAATTAATTACCTCTGAGTTTTGTTTCCCCCAATTATTTTCAGGGTTCTGGTAGGTCCTTACTTATCTAAAGTATTTTTAGACTTGGGACCCTTTTCTTCTTTACAAGTTTTTTTTTTTTTTTTTTTAAGACAGAGTCTCGCTTTATCGCCCAGGCTGGAGTGCAGTGGCAAGATCTCGGCTCACTGCAACCTCCGCCTCCCGGGTTCAAGTGATTCTTCTGCCTCAGTCTCCCGAGTAGCTGGGATTACAGGCATGTGCCACCACACCTGGTGAATTTTCATATTTTTAGTAGGGGTGGGGTTTCACCATGTTGGCCAGGCTGGCCTCGAACTCCTGACCTCAAGTGATCCGCCAGCCTCAGCCTCCCAAAGTGTTGGGATTATAGGTATGAGTCACTGCGCCTGGCCCTTTAGAAAGTTTTGAGATGGCTTTCTGTTTAATGTCTGTAGACCAACCTGAATGTCAAGGGATTTTGTTTTTCAGATGGAACAGTAATGAAAGTATCACAATTAGCAAGCTTTCTAAAAGCAAAAACTAACCCCACTGATATTATTTTTAAAAAGTCAGTATTTTTGAAGGAAATTCCTCTGAGAGAATTTCCCAGAATGTGTTCTGAAGCTGAGAACATACCTGAATTTTCTATCAGTTACAATCATATTCTGAAGGTTTTGGTAGAGCTATCTTGGAAACAAAAGCTGAAAAAGGCAAAAGGTTGAACAGTGGACACATCTTTTAACCATATGATCTGGGAATGTCTTAGGATTGCTAGTAAGGTTGCTTTCTATAACAAGGTGCTTACTCTGTTTCTTCTCAGGCTAAAATAAACCTTTATCTTAAAATACAATCAATTATAAGATTTTGGCCAGCGTGGTGGCCCACACCTGTAATCCCAGCACTTTGGGAGGCCAAGGCGGGCGGATCACTTGAGTCCAGGAATTCAAGGCCAGCCTGGCTAACATGGCAAGACCCCATCTGTACTAAAAATATAAAAATTAGCTGGGCATGGTGGTGCATGTCTGTAATACCAGCTACTCAGGAGGCTGAGGCACAAGACTCGAATGAACCTGGGAGGTGGAGGTGGAGGTTTCAGTGAGCTGAGATTTCATCTCTGCACTCTAGGTGTCCAAGGGTGACAGAGTGAGACTCTGTCTCCAAAAAAAAAAAAAATATATATATATATATATATATTTATATATATGATTTCTTTTTATTTTGAAACATTTCAAATGTCGGAACATGAGTAAAATAATTTGAACACATCTATTTTAGCACATATTAAACATACTGCCATATTAGCTTTGTACATGCACACACACATTTTAAATGAATGAAAGAGATGCGTTTGAAATTCTGTCTGTAATCTTCCTTGATCTAATCTCCTTCCTCTGTGTCTATCTCCATCTCTGCATATAAACACTACCTTGAGTTCAGTCTTATTATTGTTGTTCCCATGCCTTTCTTTATGCTTTTGCTACATAGGCATATGTCCATAAACAGCATACAGTGTTGTTTTTCATGTTTAAAAACTTTAAATTTCCTCATAGATATAACTTACCTTATTCACTCTGCATAATTTTTAAGATTATTTCATGTTCATGCATACAGAACAATCATTTAAACTGTTGTATTGCCTTTCATTATGTGAATATACCACAATTTGTTATCAGCCCCTCTTCTCCGTGCAAGCAGTTTGAGGTACAATTTAAAGTCATAGCTTTATAATTTGTTGGCCAAGCAGAACACAGACGATGCCAGGAATCAATACTTTTATTTCTGCCTTTGTCCATGTGCCTTCGGTTATTCTACCCCTTCCTTTATATTTTGGCTTGGTCTCCTGGAAAGATTGTTAAGATGACTCGTTAACAAAAACTTCTCCACAGACATGAGTACCCACTCTGTGTTAGGGAGGAGCTAAATGTGAGCCAGACATTGGTCCACAAATAGGTGACTGTCAAGCCTATTACCATCAAATTGCATATATACATTCATATCTATAATGTAATGCCTGTGGGTTTCATATACATGCATATTTTACTTTTTGCTTTTAAAAGACTATTAAAGTTATAAAAATTACAGTTAAGAATTTGGTTACCTTTGGTTATTTCCTTATTCAAATGTGCATTTTTCTTAATTTCCATAGTAATATATTTAAAAACCAAAGCACTGGAGGTCACTACACACCACTACATTAACAGCTCCACAGATCTTATTTACAATAAACAGCTAGGTTAGGTATTGCTAGTTTTGTAGATGGAGTGCCTATAGAATGGAAACTGTCTGCCATTCTCCTTCCAAAACAAGAAAAGGAACGAAAAAATCAATTATACCTGTTTCCCTGTCTTAATAGACAACATTGTTGTGAGCTGGTACCAACTTCCGGTGTTCCCATGCAAGCTATAATCTATGATTTGCCTCTGTAATTTCATTAATATTTAGTGACCAGAGACTTTTTGAGTGTTAACAGATACATTCTGTTAATAATTATTCTGGTGACTTCATTGTGCTTATGGTAGAAAATAGGTCCCTGAATCACATTTATTTTTTTCCTTTATGAACAACTACCAATTATTTGACTAAATCATTGTCTGTAAGCTAAATGAGTTTTCAGCCAACTAAACTGCATGTTACTAAAAAAACCTTATGTGACAAATAAATAAAGTACACATTTTAAAAAAGTTCAAGGACTTGTGAGCCAAGAAATTTCAAACCAAAGATAATATGTTTTGTAAAGGTTAAAGTAGATTTTTCAACTAGAATGTAAATGGAATGCATTGTAAATGACTGCAGCTTCTCTTATGTTTTTACTGTGATCCAGAAATGACTGTATTGATTTTTGAAGTTTTTACGTTAAAAGAAAATCACTGAGACTAAATGTCATGGCTTTGTGAATTCTGGGTTAACTGATGACAGCGGACAGAGGCTGTGACTGCTGCAGCTTCTCTGCTAGTTGCTCCTTCCTATGCTGAAGAATGTTTTAGAGCCATCTTTTATCTTTACTTAGAACAATGATGTTGTGGTTTGTTTTATTCAGATCAAGTTTTCAGAATCCGACTACTTTGGCAACGTCCTACAAACTCGCAAGTATTTAGCACAGTCTGATTTCTTCTGGCTAAGAAAAGCCGTTCCAAAAACAGAGTGAGTATTAAAAAAAAGTTAAATAGATAAATACATTGGTGAGAAGCGGAGTCTCTTTAGATTAAACTTTGTAATTCCCCTCAAGTCAGAGTAGCTGGCTTGCCAGTTAACTTGTTTTAGCAAAATCTGTGTCATGTTTTGCCAACTCTTATTTTTTATATTATGTGATTCAGATCTTAAGTCTAATTACAGGTCCCCCATTTCTAGCATCAACACGTATCAAGAGAAGGCTTATTAGGATGCAAACATTAAAGTTATTTCTAGATCTAGTTATGAATATATAGAGAGGGAAAAATTTCTCTGGATTTTTACATTCATGTAGTAACTTTCGAAGATCTTAAAGAATAAATACTTTTAAAAAACCCTATGATTAGAAACGACAAAGTAAATGTATAGAAGCAACTAGAAAATATTTGTTGAGGTAATGCCTATCAAAGAACTGATAGCTATATTGTTTTTATCTAATAGCAGTTATGGTTTATTTGCCTTCCTCTCAGCTGCCTGTAGGAGTTTTTCCTACAGATAGGAGGGTTTCCTTAGGTACTTTTAGGCCCAGGGCCCACCAGCTATGATTTCTTCCCTTAGCAAAATGTCAGTGATGATGACAATGATGATGGTAGCAGCTAACAATTATTATTTGTTTACATCGTACCAGAAAGTGCTTTACAATTTTTAATTCATTTTATCCTCATAGGACTTTGGCATGGTATAGATACTGTTATCCCCATTTTACAGGAAAATAAAAGGCTTACAACTGAGAAATTCTTCAGCTTAGGTTTGGATCACATTTTGTTCTGTCTGCTGCTGCTTTTGATTCCTGGGACTGGATTCTGTTGTGCTAAGGCCCACTTCTCCAATGCTTTTTTTCTCTCTCTTCTCCAGATTGGATGATGTCTATTGATCTGTTTTCAACTCCAGAATTTCTTTTTAAATTTAATTGTATTACTATTTTTAAACTTAGTTTTTATTT